GCCTCGGAAAGCAGTTGAGGACGGCCCAAAGCCTTGGGACCCTGCACCCATGTGGGAGACTCAGAAGCTCCTGGCTCTTGGATTCAGATTGGCTCAGCTCCGACCATTGCAGCCGTTTGGGGAGTGAACCAGCAGATGGAAGATCTTTGTCTCTCCTTCTCTCTGGAAATCTACCTTTCCAATAAAAATACACAAATCTTAAACAAAACAAGCACTAACTAGTCAGAAATACGGGCAGAACAGAAAGCTTACGACCCACGCAGAGTCCGCGCCAGGGAATACTCCTGCAGGTAGTGTCTTATTTATTTCACACATTTTAACTTCTGAAAGCTCATAAGTTTCTGGAAACCTTAAATTTCCTCTCTTACGGCAGTTACTGCTGTCCAGGAGGCAGGGACCTCAGGGGATGTTAATCAGGGAACCTTGGCTGTCAAAAAGAAAGATTGAGCCCGTTCGGGGACTGGGGCTGCAGGAGACTGGCCGAAAAGCACAAGAACAACTGTGAAGAGCAAGGAGAGAAGATACAAAGCAGGAGCCCTGTCCTCTCTGCCGAGACCCGTCCCTGCCCACAGCCCCTGGACTAGGAGCGTCCTGCCCTGCTGTGACTGGGGCCGCACTAGAGGGGCCAGCTGGAAAGCAGCCTTGTCAACCTTGCTGGAACTCTGTTCCCATTGGAAGTGCAGGCAGCCTCCTGGGTGCCGTGTGCACAGCGAGATCAGACCGGGAAAGCTCGGCATGCCAGGGCAGCCAGCAGGGAGGACACAAGACAGCAGGAGCTGCAGTGCTGGGCGAGCCGCACACGTGCAAGAGTGCCCAGGGACAGACAGGAAATGCCACTCAGCAGGCCAGGAGGGGTGAATGTGGAGCTGGGAAGCCGAGACTCAGCAGCTGGCACTGGCTGCTCAGCTTCCCTTCATGTGCTTTGTTCACAGAGAACATCTGGATGACAACAGGACAACACGGCACGGCACGGAGCAGGACGCAGCCATCTGTCTTCCACATTGGGATGTTCTCCACCTTTCCCACAAGTGGGAGACTCGCATTCCCAGGCTGATTGTGCTGCCCGGCAGCTGTGTCAGCCGCCCCCTCCATCCCCTCACTGTGTGGCTGAAGCTTCACTGCATACGTTATAGAACTAATTTCCAATATCTTGTGCATGAAATACAAATGGGTGATCAGGAAAAAATTGATTAATATATGGAAAAATTATGTAAAAAATTGAAAACAAAGGAAGCTGCTAAAAATCCCAGTTTGCACAGTTTGGCAGGGATCACACTGAGCACAAAGCTTGCTTCTCCCCTGACTGCTGTGTCTCCTTGGCCCCACGCCAGGACCTCGACTTCTCCGACTCTTCCCCGGCGCAGGGACCCGTCTTCATTCCATCGGTTCCTCCACTTTCTGTTAACCCTTGCCATCAGTCAGTTCTCCATGGAAGCTCTGAGAGCCACTCCTCCATGTCCAGCCATGTTCTTCCTCTTCCTCACTGTGCAGGGGTCACCCATGTCCGCTCAGGACTGAGGACCAACACCCCCAGCTAGCAGGATACCTCCTTTTCAGCCATCAATGTCAGGACCCACAGAGGCCTCCAGCTGCAAGTGTCCTCCAGCTCAGCAGGGTCACCAGGATGTCTCTGCCCAGTAAGCCGAGATCGCCAAGCCTGGCCCTCACTGGGCACTCCAGCCCGTCCGTCCTGCAGCAGGAGGTGGGACTCCAGCCCTTGAGCTGGCCCTCACTGGGCACTCCAGCCTGTCCGTCCTGCAGCGGGAGGTGGGACTCCAGCCCTTGAGCTGGCCCTCACTGGGCACTCCAGCCCGTCCGTCCTGCAGCGGGAGGTGGGACTCCAGCCCTTGAGCTGGCCCTCACTGGGCACTCCAGCCTGTCCGTCCTGCAGCGGGAGGTGGGACTCCAGCCCTTGAGTTAGCCCTCACTGGGCACTCCAGCCTGTCTTTCCAGCAGTGGTCAGCTTCAAACTCTGTGCTCCACAGAGATAAAGAGTGTTTACTGCCACTCCATGGGAGAACCCTGGGTGCCTCAGCTCCCCAGACACCTCGCTGTGCTCCCTGCAGGCAAGTGTGAGTGCACAACAAGTGTGAATGCAGCAGAGAGGGACAAAAGCAGCAAGTTGTTCTGAAGGAGCTGCAGCACACATAGCCCACAGCCTGGTCCACAGCCTGGCCACAGCACGACCCTAGGCCTGACCCACAGCACTGCCCACAGATAGCCTGGTCCACAGCCTGGCCACAGCACGACCGTAGGCCTGACCCACAGCACTGCCCACAGATAGCCTGGTTCACAGCACGACCCTAGGCCTGACCCACAGCACTGCCCACAGAAAGCATGGCCCACGGCCTGACCCCAGCACAGCCCACAGCCTGACCCACAGCACTGCCCACAGATAGCATGGCCCACAGCCTGGCCAACACCCTCCCACTCCTTGTGGTTGTGGTGTAAGAACTGAGATGGGCTGAGGATGCCTCTGTTGCCCACAGGCCCCCTTGCACACACTCACTTCTGCAGCCACAAATGTCCACCAGCTCTTTGCATGGTTACTATTATGAATAAAGAATTGGAACTGGCTTTTTGGAAAGGTCCTCCATTGCTCCTGCTGCTGTAATCTGTTGACCAGAGAACTTAAAGGTGAAGAATACCAACAACTCAGCATGTTTCGACGAGTTATGCTACCTACCACAGAATGCTAGACAGAAATTAAAACCAAAATTTATGGTGTAACGGCTGTGCCCAGCGGTTTTGTTTCTAATACTGTTTTCCTGGAAACGGAACCAAGGCTCTCGGGTGTACTGGCTGGTTCCAGGAACAGGGAAAGGAAACACACAAAGTGAACCTGGAGCATCTTGTGGTGCCAGAGTAAGGAAACATTCAAAAATGTTGAGAAATGAATGATGAGGTTGTCAAAAGGCCACAGGAGCTCTCAGAGTTCGCAGCGACCAACGCTGAAAAAGCTGAATTGCAAAGTAGCTTAGCACAGCTCAAAGTGTCGAGTAAATATGGTGAGTTCATGATGACATCATCCAGTGATTGATTAAATAAATAAGTGGAAGAAACAGACAAATCTCTCTTACATAATTGCAAATATTTTAAGTAGCTACATCGGGGCCAACTGCATCGTTGCTTGCGAGATGAGACTCCAGATGGAAGATGTTTCTCCATCGCTCCTTCTCTTTCAAATAAGTAAATTGATCAATACATATTTGTAATTAGCTCCGTCCTCTTCATGCAGCTGCAGCCCAGGTCCCGCTCCTAAGTGAACCTCTGGGCAGTGACTCCCTTCCAAAGTCGATGTTATGGGAAAGAAGGAAAGGAGTTGCCTGACAGCGCAGACCTGCCCCTCCACCACCACCATCCCTCCATCCCCACTCCCTGGCCAGGTCAGCGTGGGCAGTGCTCAATCACATGGACTTGGTCTTCCACCCCAGAACACATGACCTCCAGCTAGCCAAGAGAATAAACTCAGATCAGCCGCGAACACCTGGTCAATACTCCTAAGAACCAGCACAGCCACAGAAAGTCCGGAGAAAACAGCCCGAGGGACCGTCACAGCTGAGAAGTCCAAGGAAGCAGGGCAGTGTGCAGCACGCCAGCAGACAGGAAGGACTCAGGGTCACCAGGTGTGACCCCAGGTGGCTCCTGGACAGAGGCAGGACGGGAGAGAGCGCCTGGGGCATCAGCTCCTGCATGTGAGCAACAGGACTCTCCCACATTACACGTTAGGAGAGGTGAGGCCAGGACGTCCAGGCTTCCATGTCACCTTCACAACTTCTCTGTAAGCCCGAAGGTGCTCCCAGAAGCAAGAGCACAGGAAGGTGGTAAAGAAGACTGGTGCTCTGCCTACCGTGCTGGAAACGTGTTTGGCTGCTGGTTCGAGTCCCGGCTGCTCCAATTCTGATCTAGCCTGGGAAGGCAGCAGAGGATGGCCTAAAGCCTTGGTCCCCTGCACCCACGTGGCAGATCTGGAAGAAGCTTCAGGCTCCTGGTTTTGGATCAGCTCAGCTCCAGCTGTTGGAGCCTTTGGGGGTGTGAACCAGCAGATGGGAGAGCTCTCTGTCTCTCCTGTTCTCTTTGTAAAAGCATTCAAATAAAAATCAATGTATCTTTAAAAATAAACAGAGAGCATGCTTGTAAAAGTGCAGCTCAACTCGCTTCCTCAGCCAGAGGTTCAAGGACAGTCACGGTTCTCGGTTTTTAAGTCAATCGTTTGCCTCTTCTTTATTCCCATGACTACAACACCAGCTGTGTCCTTTCATTTCCCCATCCCCAAACTGGCCAGCACTCTAGGGGCCAGCCAAAACCTAGAGCTGGCAGCCCTGTTTCCAATCCGCAGGTGCAGGGAACTGGGCCCTGCGGGGAAACGTGCTTTGCTGGGGGAGTCTTCCTCCCAGGGATGCCCTCCCCCCACCTCAACATGGGGCGTCCTTGCTTGGATCCCACATCAGCCGCTGCTTCAGGCCAAGCCCGCCCACCGCAGTCCCCCAAAGCCCAGCCCAAGTCCCCTGAAGGCTTCTGCGGTGGGAGCCAGCCCTGTGCCAGGGACCCTCAGAGCAGAGCCACAGCACCGACAGCCCCACAGGCAGGCGGGAGCAGAAAGAGGTGGAGGGCCACGGATCAGGAAAGCCACTGCCCAGGAACAGGATGAAGCATGAATCTCCCTGACCCTCAGTGCGAACAGAGAGCAAACACTGCATTTTAGATTCTGAATCTGAAAGCTAATCGGAAAAGGAGAAATGTCCTTCTCGGGTATTTGAGATTCTGTTCTAAAATATCAACCAGGTCTTGTATTTAGCTTCTGACAAACACGCGGCCTTTGCAGGCAGTTTTGGACCATCAGGTGTGTGTAACAGCACAGCCTTGGTGTCCTGGACTCATCCTGCAGGGTGCTGGGGTCTGGGGTGCTCTCTGCTCACGCAACGGCAGCTCCTGCTGCTGGCGTTGCGTCCCACCTGCCGTGCAAACGAGAAGGAAGATGGAACAGGAGCAGGTCAACATTCAAAATCCTTTCTTTAAAAAAAGAAATTCAGCTTTCAATGCCAAGGTTTTGTCAGGCAGGCGGAGCACAGACAAAGATTAATGTCCCAGGAGAAGAAAATGAACGTTGCAAAGGTGAGGTGGGAGTGAGGCACGACGGGTCTTGACCCTAGCGTTGATATTGAGAGAAGTTGCCTTCTCGGACCCTGCCTGCTATGCTGAGGCCATCTTCCAGGTGCTGAGCCAAGGCTGCAGTGCCTGTCTGTCCTGCAGCACGGCCAGCAGTGAGGCTGGCCAAGGCTGCAGTGCCTGTCTGCCCTGCAGCACGGCCAGCAGTGAGGCTGGCCAAGGCTGCAGTGCCTGTCTGTCCTGCAGCACGGCCAGCAGTGAGGCTAGCCAAGGCTGCAGTGCCTGTCTGCCCTGCAGCACGGCCAGCAGTGAGGCTGGCTGCCCATGCCACAGTCCCAGGACAAGAACATGGCACACGTCTGTGACCATTGAGCAGGATCCATTTCCGGTGACCGTCCAAGGCCTTAGCCCAGACAGCAGTGCCATTTGGGATGGATGCTGTGTTGGAAAGCAAGGTCGACATGCAGAGAGGAAGGTCAAGGGCCCTACAGCCCATGAGCACATGCTCACTTTGACCAGTCGATGTGCAACTTTGAGGGTTTTTCTCAGTGCTTCAAGCCAAATCACTCCTGGAAACGGCCATTGTTTCTCACGCAACAGTTCCAAAATTCTGTCATCCACAAGGATTCTCACTGACACCTGGAATAAATACGTCTCCCAGGGGAGCGTGATTTATGTCCGGTTTACATCTGAACTCCCAGTGGTCACCAGCAAATGGCTTAGCTTTGTGTTGGAACTGGTGCTGCGATGAAACCCTTGGGCGCAGCTGCACCAGGCCACGCGGCTGTATTTCCATGAGACCCACACTGCAGTCCCACAGCGCTGGCTGTTCAGAACACAGAAATTCACTCAGGAGCTGCATCAGCTCTGCACAAATGTGGATCATTGAAATAACCGAAACATATCTCTAACGTGTAAGTTCCTGAATTTAAAAGAAGACATGATTGAAATTGTTCTTTTACTAGCATTCCTTCTCAATGGAGCCTGTGTTCCTTCTACTGAAGGCATCATATTGCCGTCTATGGTTTACAACTCTGCCTTAAAAATATATATATATTTATTTTTATTGGAAAGTCAGATATACAGAGAGGAGAGACAGAGAGAAAAATCTTCTGTCCATTGATTCACTCCCCAAGTGGCCACAATGGCTGGAGCTGTGCCAATATGAAGCCAGGAGGCAGGAGCTTCTTCCAGGTCTCCCACGTGGGTGCAGGGTCCCAAGGCTTTGAGCCATCCTTGACTGCCTTCCCAAAGCCGTAAGCAGGGAGCTGGATGGGATGCAGGGCTGCCAGGATTAGAACTGGCCCCCAGATGGGATCCTGACACATGTAAGGGAAAGATTGAGCTGGGCCCCAACTTTGCCATTAAAAAATAAAAAGATTTATTTATTCATATTGGAAAAGCAGATTTACAGAGAGAAGGAGAGACAGAGAGAAGGAGAGACAGAGAGAAAGATCTTCCATCTGCTGGTTCACTCCCCAAGTGGCCACAATGGCTAGAGCTGAGCCTCTCTGAAGCCAGAAGCTTCTTCCAAGTCTGCCATACGGGAGCAGGGTCTCAAAGCTTTGGGCCATCCTCTGCTGTTTTCCTAGGTCACAAGCAGGGAGCTGGATGGGAAGTGGAGCAGCTGGGACATGAACCAGCACCCATACGGGATCCCAGCACTTAAGGGGGGGAGGGGTAGCCAATCTTGCGCTGATCCGCAGCTTTGCCTTAATTTGCACTGTTACCACACGGATTTGCTTTGCAAAGTAAACACAGAATTCTGATCACACACAAATACACACACACACTCACATGGCGAACTCCTACTTTCCTTCTTGGAACCTGGAGTTTTCCTGTTTTTTATTCTCATGTTCTTGGTGGGGCTCAGCAGGCCGCAAGGAATGCTGCACTGCCCTCTCTATGACAAGGGGAGTGGCACACCAGTGCTGGCCAGTGGAGCTGGGTGGTATGGGGGCAGCAGCCACACACAGCTCACATCCCGCTCACCCACAGGGGTGGCTGTGCTGGAGGGAGGCTTGGCGTTGGCGGGACACTGTTGCCTTTCAAGAGAACTGTGACATCCCGAGTTCTGAGATGTTTAAAGCCCCTGGTCCCGATCCAGATCTGGAAGTGCTTGCCAGTATGGGGTCCGGCTCTGTCCATCACCCACATCAGCCTATGCACTTGGAGCGCCCCCAAAATCTCCACCATGTGAACAAATGTCTTTTTCATTTTCCCCACAACGTTGCCATGTTGGAACCCAGGCTCTAAGAGAGGGAAGCTGGGACCAGACCAGGTCAGGCTGAGTCCCAGCCATGGTCAGGGAGTCTCTGGCCCTGCCCTCTGGGAAGACTCTCACACCAGCCTCTGTGGCTACTGGTGTTGGCGACAGCCTCTGCAGTGACTCAGCTCCCATGGCCTCTACACGCACTCAGCTCCTCCGCCCCACCCCACCATGACCTTCAGGTCCAATGGCCTGGGCCACTCAGGCCAAAGGGAGCCAAGAGATCTTGGTGTCCTGCCCTTGGCGGTTGAAAAGGTCAGCCCCTGGTCCCGATCCATGCAGCTCGACAAGGACAAAGCCAGTCACATCTGTCCCAGCCCGGAGCCCTGGCTTACTCCACCTTCTCGCCTCCCCCAGGGGAGAGGTGTGTGCAAGGCCACGGGGTCATCCTACTTCCTTCACATCAGCTCAACGCTACACATGGGGATCCGTCTCCCACTTAAACAGAAAGCAGAGAAAGTGATTCATATGTCTAAAAACTTTATTTTTGGTGATGTTTACACAGTTGATTACGGTGGGAAGGGTGGAAGATTAGGGGAAAGTGGGTGAGACTTTTGTTTCCAAATGTTCTTTTCCTTTCTCCTGTATCTGGAGGGAGAGGGGAATGGCCACCCAGTGTCATCACAGAGTCCCCCGATGTGGAGTATACTCCAAGGGTTGCGCTCAAGTGGTTTTGACAGTTCTGAAATGCTGTCAATCTCGCTGCTCCAAGGATGAGGAAATCTTTTCAAGCTCCAATGGCTGACACAGTCCACCTTGGAGCCTCCATTCACCCAGGTATTTGCTGCCAACGCTTGGCTGGCATAGTTGATCAATTTGTTGTACCCCCGATCCTCTGCTATGGTACTAGATGTCTTCTGCAGGCCCCAGTGGCCTCTCATGTCCTCCATCATCCACTGCTCTGTCTCAGCCTCTGAGCAGGCCCAGTTCTGACACAGGCATTCCACAGTCAGACCAGATTTCCTGCGGCTCTCCCCATGGTTGGAGCTCTGAGTCCAACAGTTCAGTTGGAAAGATTCCAAAGGAAACCTTGTCTAACGTGATCCCAGATCTGGAAGTGCTTGCCAGTACGGGGTCCGGCTCTGTCCATCACCCACATCAGCCTATGCACGCACTAGTAGTTGCAATTGCTGGGTCACTTATGTCTCCAGCTCTGCCTCTTGCATAAACCAATGGAGACTGCAGCCCAGTCCAACCCTGCCCACCACACTCGGCCGTAACATTCACCAGCAGGAGCTGCAGCCTAGTTGGATCCATCCCCAATAACCCCTACCAAGCCTGCACCCAGCTCTGGCTCTTACGCTTGCCAGTATGTGCAGCAGACTGGTCCAGTCTGTCCCACATCCCATTCAGCTCTCTTACACATCAGTGGGTGTTGAAGCCTAGCTCAACCCAACCGACTCCGCTGTCAGCTCACACTCATGCCGACACCATCCTCAGCCCTGGTTCTCATGCTCACCAATGGGACCTGCAGCCCATCAGAAAGGCGCCCACCGTTTCCCTATTGGACCTACTCCCTACTCTGGATCTTGCACTCTCCAGGTTGTTCTGCAGTCTAGCTTGACAGGATATGCCTCCATTCCTAGCACTTGATAGCTGATGCTATGGCAAAGCCCAACAAGCCTGTACTTATCTGACTTATGCCTGGTCTGGCTCTTACCCAATTCACATGCAGGTCAATAGGTGTTGTTGTATCCTGGTCTGACGCCAGTCCCAGTTCTCACTCACTGGTAGGGTAGTGGGGGAGGGGGTGGCAGCAGTCCAGTAGGGGTGTCCCCTGCAGCCCCTACCAACCTCAGATCCCCTCATGGGTCTCACATGTGCTGATGGGTTCTGCGGCCCAGTCTGGCATGGCCCACCTCACTTTAGCATCTGTTGGCGGTGCTGCAGCCTGGCCTGGTCCAGTCTGCCCCAGTTCCAGCTCATGCTGGTAGATGCTGCAACCTAGTCCAGCACATCCAGCCCCCAGTCCTGGGCCTAATGTGTACTGCCTGCTATTACGGCCTAACCTTGCCTGTCCTGCTCCAAGTCCTGACTCTTTGGCCAGTGGATGTTATGAACTGGTCCAGCCTGGTCTACCCCCAGACCTGAGCCACACATGTGCTGGCGGGAACCATAACCTGGCCTGGTCTGGGCTGCTACCTCTCTTGGTTCTTGCACTCACCTGCAGGGACTGCACCTTGACAATGGAGTTCTCCAAGCTCCTCTATCAGTCTCCGTCCAGTGGCAGATCTCGTGCACACCAGTAAGTCCTTGACCCAGACTGACTTAGTCCATCTCCTGTCCTGGCAGGAACAATGGCCTTGCCCAGCTGGTCCACATCCATTCTGGTTCTTGTTGTTGGGTGCTGCAGTCTAGCCACGCCTGCTCCACACCCAGACATAATTCTAGCATAGTTCAGCAGGCTCTGAGACTTAGCCCAGCCAATCCTATACCCACACTGAGTCTTATGAGCACCAGTTGGTACTGGAGTCTAGCCCAGTCTGGCACACCCCAGATCTAGTCCACACCCATGCCAAGGGACACTGCAGTCATGTCCAGCCCTGATGGCCACCCCAGTTCTTATTCTCACTGTTCCCTCCCACCCACTGATTTCCCCTATATTTTAACAATGGAATAGTTCTTCATTAACCGTTGTAAGTCTATCATTCTGCTATCTAAGTGTTTCTTGACACTGAGGTAAGGACAATGGCTGACAGTTCAGCATCCTATTATCAAGATTTATTTAACAGCTTCATTGGGAGTCTATCTTTGGTTTGGAAGTAGAGATGCATACTGCATTGTATCTTCACATCTGGATAGTCTCTATTATACAGTTACTGTATATTCCCTTAAATGAATAGCCATACAACAAAATCAATAATAGGAATAAAGTGAAAAATTTACAATAGCATGAAATTAAATAATGCGCTACTGAATGACTAATGTGTCAATGAAGAAATGAAAACAAAACAAAACAAAAAAACTTTCTTGAAGAAAGTGATGCTACTGTATGACCCATGAGTCATTAAGGAATTTAATAATGGAAAAGAAACTTTGTTGAAGAAATGAAAATTCAAACAAAAATCTCAAAAACCATGCATTACAGCAGAAACAGTATTGGAAGGGCTATTGATCATACATTTTGCATGAAGGTTGCTTTATATCAGAGAGAACATATGATAGTTGTCCTTCTGGGATTGACTTATTCCACTGAGCAATGTGGTCTCTACTTGGGACCATTTGGTTGCAAATGGTAGAATTTCATTATTTTTAACAGCTGAGTAGCGTTCCACGGAGCCGATAGATCGTAGTTTTTTTACCCACTCCTGTTTGACAGGCGTCTGGGCTGTCTCCATGTCTTTGCTATTGTAGATTGTGCTGTTGTGAATACAGGATTCCAGATCCCTCTCTCATGTGCAGATCTCATTTCCTTTGGATATATTCCCAGCAGAATATCTGGGTCACACGGCACGTCTATTTTTAGTTCTTTTAGCACTCTCCATACTGACTTCCACAGTGGTTGCACTAGCCTACACTCCCACCAACAGTGAAGGAGGGTACCTTTCTCCCCACATCCACACCAGCAGGTGTTAGAGTTCTGAATGTGGGCCAATCTCGCTGGAGTTAGGTGGAACCTCGATGTGGTTTTCATTTGTATTTCCAGGACAGCTAGGGAGCCTGAGCATTTTTTTCACATGACTGTTAGCCATTTGAATTTGTTCTTTTGAATTATGTCTGTTCATTTCTTTCTCCCATTTCTTCACAGGTTGTTTGCCTTGCTGTCGTTGAGTTTCTGAAGCTCTTTGTAAACCTTGGACGTTAGTCCCCTGTCGGTTGCATCTTCACTTTGTTGACTGTTTCCTTTGCTGTACGGAAGCTTTTTAGTTTCATGTAGTCCCATTTATCTACTTTGTGTTTGACTGCCTGTGCTTTTGGTGTCTTTTTCTTTTTTTTTTAAATACATTTTTATTTTGAATTCTAAATTATGTGGTACAATTTTGTATAGGCTTGGATTTCCCCCAAAACTCACCCCTGACAGGTTTTCCCCATTTTATTACAACGGTGTAGTCCTTCATAAGGAATCATAATTCTGTCAGTCTCTTATCTAAGTGTACCCCGACATTGTTGGTACAGACAATGTCAGGCAGTCCAGCATCCCGTTGTCTACACATGGCCAACAGTTTGGGAATCCATCTTTCATCTGAAAGCAGAGATGCATGTTTCATTATTCCCCCACATCTGGATATGATAGCTTTTGATGTCTTTTTCAATAATTATTTCCATATTCTTATATCTTGGAGAGTACTTCCTATGTTTTCCTCCAATAGTTCGATGGTTCCTCGGTGCAGATTTAGGTTCTTCAACCATTTAGAGCTGATTTTTGTATAGTGTGACAGGTGGAGGTCTTGCTTCTTAATTGTGCAAGCTACTGTCCAATTGTTCCAACAGGATTTGTTGAAGAGACCAGGCTTTTCCCCTGGACTGTTTTCAGTTTTCTTGTCAAAGATTGGTTGTTTAATCATGTGTGGGCTCTCTTCTGGTGTTTCTATTCTGTTCCACTGATTTTCTTCTCTGTTTCTGCAGCAGTACCAGACTGTTTTGATAACCACTGCTCTGTAGGATTTCTTGAAGTCTGGAATTGTGATTCCTCCAGCTTGATTTTTATTCGTCAGGATAGCTTTGGCTATTCTTGGTCTCTTGGGGTTCCAGATGAACTTTTTTGTATCTTTTATTTCTGAGAAGCATGTTGTTGGGATTTTGTTTGGGATTGTGTTGAACCTGTATATTACTTTTCGTAATGTGGACATTTTGATGATGTTGATCCTGCCGATCCAGGAACATGGCAAGTTTCTGCACCTTTTAATGTCTTCTACTTTTTAAAAAAAAATATTTAGACTTTTCATTATAGAGATCTCCCACATATTTGGTTAGATTAATTCCTGAGTGTTTAAAAAACTCCTCTTCAATATTTTAAAGGGGACTGTACTTACTATTTGTTTCTCAACCACTCAATTTTCAAAGACAGAATTGGAGAAACAAAATGTTCTACCATGAAAGTAATAAGCATTGCTCGCAGTCACTGGGAGAACAGAAGAACCTGCAGAGGTTAAATCAAGCCAGCCCACATTCCACAGCCTGTGGTGGCTTGACATGTCATTTTGACAGTCTTCCTTTATGTCCTCGTGTGTTATTAGATCATTTCATCCGAATGGCTGACTGCATCCTAGAATGTCGTTTGCAGACTTGGTGCCCTGTTTGGAATTGTCCAGAATGGCTGTGGATGAGCCTGGCACTGCATGCCAGGGAAAATAACTCAAAGGCCATCACCCTGTGTAGGGAGCTTGCTTGCCTCCTTTGGAAGCTTCCAGAAGCCATTGCCAATCTGTCAGGAACAACTCTTGAAATAGCTTCAAGTTCTGACACCCTAGATCCGGCTCCCACATTGCAGCCAGGTTGGGGGCAGGGTTGGTACGACCTCTTCACGGAGCCTTGGGAATGCTACGAAGGCCTCCTCCCCACCACCGGCTCTTCTCCTCTGCCTCCTTGGCCCCCGCCCTCTCCTCCCCTGGGACACACACATGGTACTATGGAGCATAGACCTCAGATGTGGGTCCACACTGCCTTTGGTTCAAACCCCAGCTCAGCTTCTCACTCAGGTTCCCCAGAGGTGTGGGTTCCCAGCTACAGTCTGCCCACTCCCAGTCAAGCAGCTCCCCTCACATGCTCAGTGGATTTGGCAAGCACTTGGGGTGGGTGTTATGGGCACAGTACGTGTGTGTGTGGCATGGAGCCCAGAGTAGCCATGTAGCCCACCTGTGACTTCACGATGGGAACAACCACACCCACCCACAAGTCCTGCTGTGCCTTCCTAAAGAGGCTCATTTTACTTCTCTGAAAAGCAGAGAGAGGGCGAGACACACACAAAGGAAGAGCAAGACAGCCAGAGCTCTTCCACCTGCCGCTTCACTCTCCAAGTGGTTATAAAGGTGGGGGCTGAGCCAGAAGCCCAGCACCCCATCAGGGTCCGCCACATGCGTGTGGGGACCCACACACTTGGGCCATCCGCTGCTGCTTTCCCAGGTGCCTTAGCAGGTCTCGAACTAACACTCCAATATGAGACGCCGGTGCCGCAGACACTGCTTTAATGCTGTGGGCCACAAAGCCAGCCCTCCAGCTGCACATTCTTCAGTCCCAACAGTGGAGATGGCTTGCTAAGCACAGCGCCTTCCCCAAGTGCTTTGGTGGGAACAAATCAAATAATCACCAATGAGCTGGATGCAATTACTGTGTGAGTAGGTGCAGGGTTTGTAATATCTCATCAGAGCTATGTTTTCAAAAAGTCCCAACTGCTCCATGTATAAACAAAGCCGCGGCATGGTGTTCTGTTTAAATGGATTCGGTAGATATTATTTTTCTCCCTGTGGACATCAGCCAAGGAGGCCGCTGAGTTTCCTATGATTTTTCCATTGCCTTTCCTTTGAAAAAAGCTGATTGCAAAACTCAAGCTGCAGCCTGATTTTTTTTTTTTTCCATTCTAGGTAGTTGGCTGCCAAGTGGAGAAGGGAATGAGTGTAGCAGATCCCTGGAGGCCGTGCTTGGGGGATGGGGGAGCAGCCGCAAGGACCCTCACCCTCCATCTTCAGGGTTTTCGGAAGCACAGCAGCAGCAGGCCTGTGCCACTCCCCTGGGCAGCAGCCCTCTCACCTGACCTAATTCAGCTCCAGGCCTCATTTCAGGGAGCCTATGGATTCGACGCCGCCATAGTGCATGGATCTTACAGAAGTACACCGCAGTGGCTTGTGGGCTGCCTGGCTTAGCTTCAAGTCAGTGAAAACTGGTTTGCAGAGGGGCCAGCAGGACTGCTGCCTGTCACAAGCCCAGCAACCCAGCACCAGCATGATCCCCAACACAGTGCCCGTGATTCATTTCATGTAGATGTTTAAATGCATGTGGGAAAGGGTAGGCTTGGCCAAGACCTGGCCCTGGGGAGCCACTCCAGGAGCAGCAGGAAGGCCCTTGGAGGTGAAAGACTGACTGGAGCTGCTGTCTGCTTGGGGGCAGGAGATGTTGGGCTGTGTGTGCTGCAGGTGGGGCTCAGGTACAAGAAAAATACTGACACCACAAAGAGAGACCCACAAGGTCAAAGGTCTTTGACGAAAGAGAGGGCACTTAGAGCACAGATGGAGGGATGGGGTGTGGGGGTCTGCAGGGATCCCAGGCCAGGGTGAAGGCAAGAGGAACAGCACTGTGGGTTGGGGGAGTGGGGGAACGGCCCTCCAGGGTGGTCCTTCAGGGCCAAAGCGGGGTCTGCATGGGACTGACCATCCATCCACAGGTCTGTTGAGACAGAAGGAAGAACAGCAAGGCCATGTTGTACCTGACGTCGCGGCTGCCCTGGCCACCCGTGCCCCCCAGGGTCCCGTGTGCAGTGCACGTGGTCTTTTATAAAGTGCCTCATGACATGGAGGAGCCTCAGCTCCAACACTGGAGAGAGAGAGAGCGAGAGAGAGCCTGGCAAGTGCTTCTACAGTCTCTCACCGCATCACCCCCACCCTCTGATGGAGGAAAAACAAAAGGAGTGAGCCAAAACTGACCGCTCAGAATGCAAGAGGGATGGAGAGAGCTTGCTGATCAGGGCTTTTGGACAATGTCTGGACACTTCTGGGATAAGGGGAGAGTTGACAGCGAGGGTTACATGTGTGGGAGTGGATAGGAGCCAGGGCAAGCTCATCAGAGACCACCCCCTCGTCCCGTGTCCCACTGAATTCCCCCATGAGTCATTGGGGCAGGGAACGGTTCCAGTAACCCCAGCATGAGCCATGAGAATCAGCCCCCGTCTGCATCTGTAGGAATTTCCGTGGTCACCCACACTGCCACAGGCTTGCGATGGGAAACCGGCCTGACAGCCCCCAGCCCACAGAGGGCCGCAAGCCCCTGCTCCCTCTGGACATGTGCATCCTGCACCCTCCTGGCTGCGAAGACCCCCTCCCCTTTCATAACCCGATGTAGGTCGCCGTGTTCCTCGTTTCCTGCCGATTTGTTCGCCAAGCTCCCACCGCGGGCAGAACAGGACTCTGCTCATGCTAAACACGCAAAAGCCTCCTCCCAGCTGACCCTTAGGCCTGTCACACCCGCATGGCTGCCCCAGCAGGTGGACGGCAAGCACCCCTGCAGGCTGCAGCTCTGAGGCCTCCAGCCGCTTCCGGAGGTCCGTGCGACCCC